TACGTGGACAGAGAAATTAAGACACGACTACATGAGCTGTTTTCTTCCTGTAGACACAGAGCAAAATCGTTGCTCTGCAACAACTAGTTTTAATATCGTAAACACACTCCATTGTTATGCAAATCTTAGCGCTTATAACGTCGTCTGTTTCAGTGGTCTTAACTCCTGATGAGTGAGGTACTCCATGTCCCTTACGAAACAGTACTGTAGAGTGAACTTTACTCATGTAGTCGTGTCTTATTTTTTCTGTCCACGTATGTAAATCTGCTCTACAAACTCATCGTTTAGTATCGAGCACTCTCACCTGGAATAATCGACTACCTTCCTATATATATATATATATATATATAGTTTTTTTTACACTAATATCCCACTATGTTTTGTAAATAAATATCAACATTACAGAAAAGAAACAAGTTTGAAGCCAATAGGATTAGTCGTTTCGGAGATTGCCATCAAATGTTTGAATACATCTATGTACAAATCTATAAATATCTGTGACTTGATATTGTGTAAAAAAAAGTTGGAAAAGTGCATCTCAAGAAAACTATTCTGATTCTAAATTTTTACAGGATGAAATGGTTGGACGAATTTGGTAAGAAAGTTATAAATTAACATTTCAAGTGTGATGCGGTCGGTAATTATTATTTGATTCATAACATTTGGCTAGGACGGATATGAAAAGATTACAACATATGTGCAACTGTATTTAGTCGGTTTATGCGTTGAGTGATAAAAAGATGTTTTCTGGCCACAGAGTGAAACTAAGAGATCGCACAACATGAGAATAAATTACAACCCTGTAAAATATACACGTTGTCGTGTTTACCCGAACCATATCCCAACACGACATGGCGTGATGCGGCGTGTTTGTATTGGTGCTCGACATACTCACATGTACTGTCAAGCTAACATAGCTCAGCGATAAATTGTTTATATTAGATTGTATAAGAGATGTAAGAGATTGTAGTGTATGATTCATTTGTTCTTGCATAAATACCACTTGGATGTCAATAAGTAACAATATTTCAGCTATAGAATTACCCACAATCCTTTTATTAACGAATATGTACACACCAGCTCCGAGTCGGTGAATACAAGGGTATTAATTGTCGTAAGATTTAAAATGTTAAAAGTATAGTCATATAATAAACATACTGTGTCATATAAGGCACTGAAATCCAAAAATGTACATCTGTGTTGTCATGGTCACGCAATTAGGAATAAATATGATTGGATCTGGCATGGATTCCTTTCCTCTTGTCACAGGCGGAGGGACGTAAGACATACAGAGCGTCAATAACAGGTCATGTCAGATATTGGCGTGTCTATCCAGTCTTTATTCGAATCAAATAATTTTCCATCAATATTTAAAATCAATTTTGGTCACGTGTTCTTGGTCCATGATTTAGTATTTTTACATGACTTATGCCCAACGAAAATGGCCACGCGTTCTTTAAATAAATCAGACACTCAGCCAATGTCGTTTCTGAAAATTAAGGAACAAATGACAAATTATTGGATATTTCTCACAAAAATAAAGATGGAGTGAAATTTGTAACAGAATGTTAGTTACAGTTAAACTTGATGATTAGCCGCAATATCATACCATGAAACAAGACTATACATACATTTTATTGAAAATCGTTAAATTAAATGTAACTTTATGATGCAAACTGAATCAAACATTTTACAATTTTATTATACATTTTTTTATTATAGGCGCCTTATCTGAAAGTGTACATTCTCAAACTTTCATTTATAGTAATGTGTACACTTCCGAGTCCATAACGCTTAGTTATTGGAGACTGAACTAGGAACTGTGCCCAGCATTTAATGCGTAGACAGAGATTCCATAATTATACACGATACAGATTTGGACGTCAGATTATTTTAACTTGTTCACTTGAGTTCGCGAAATGTTCACATTGTGCTAGGTTCAAGTTAGATATATTGTACAATACATGGAACACTATAATTGTCAATACACCGTCAATACATGTATTGAAGTGACAAAACTTACTTTAAACTGTCTGACGTTGCCAGTATTTATTACCATATCTCTATCTTGTACAGGTGTCATCGCTAATGCGATTTTCTGTAGAACAAATAAATGAAAGGTCATAGAAGTTTTAAACGGGGTGCAATTTGTTCGCACTTGTAATGGACAGAACCGATCTTTTGAACACTTAAAGAAGTCCTTATCATTAAAGCGGGAGAGTCATCGCCTACGCATGCGTCAGATGACCATGCCGTGTCATTGTTTTCAAACAAGCGTGTTCTCATGAGCCTTTGCGTTTTTAGCGTGTGTTGTTATCGTCGCTTGGAACTCAATTCCCGCGCATGCGCAGGTGACAACCCTCCCGCTTTAACAGTGCGGGGCCGTAAAATCAACATTACACCGACTTTATTCAAATAGTAACACCCATGCCAAGGGTTCATATTTCCAGTTGGCGTTTGTGATCAGATCACAAGCCAAGGTACATATAATGCCATGTCTATGGGTCAGGATAATGATATTGATCGGAGTATTTGGGATGTCTAAAACTGCAAACGTGGATGTCTCTAACATTGATATTGACTTATTCAATTAACATCTACTGTGAAAAATAAATATTGTGTTTCCTTCAATTCTAAGAACCAGTCGTCCCACTGCGCCATTCACTTCTAAGAACCAGTCGTCCCACTGCGTCATTCACTTCTAAGAACCAGTCAACCCACTGCATCGTCTTCGCCACGAGTCCCATGCAAAGTACATAACGCGTGAAATATAGATTGTTTTCACAATGTTTGAAGCACGTTGTGTGACTTTAATGAAATGATCGATCCGTTCTACAATGTGAACGCGTTCCGGATATCTTTCGGTCAATACAAGTATGCCCTAACCTAGAATTTAATAGTGCTGCGAATACTAGAGCCTCCTACCTGTTTCCACGTGCCTTTCTGTGATAGTACACTGTAGATAGCTGTGGCAGGTATTAATGCCATAGATGATAATGCAATACACCATCCAAATACATTAGCCCATACCGGATACGTGTAATCATCAAATTTCAAAGGTGCGTACAACGCAATACTCACAACGACAATGAACTGTAATAACAAATAATATAAATGTAAAGTATTCTGAGCTATTTTACGACAAGCATGAAAACGATGACAAAATACTGACGAGACGCTTAAAAATTAAGAAAAATAACACTGTCAACAAATTTGAGTATCATGTTTATATGCACGATTTTGTCAAACCCATTCTACATCTAAACACATTTTTAATTCAACATTCATTGATTGTCATTGGATTGGAAAGGTGTGATTTTAGACCATGAACAAGGCCAGACAAGATGACTTTGTCTTTTATCAAACTAGCTTATTTGGCACTTTGTCAAAATATTGGAAATCATGTTTTTTTACCGCGGTGCTAGGTTTGTTTTCCTCTTACCGTAAGAAACACAGGTGATATGAACTTCCAGCATATCCGCCACCATATACCCGGTTTATATCCCAACATTTCTTCAATATCCTCAGAAAATCGGTCAACTCCTTTCAAAGATAAAACGAAATCGCATATTATGCATTACTATCCTTGTCAATACAATAATTTGAATGCGTTCTGATATACAGTGAATGTGAACGTAGTCTTTGTCAATACAATAATTTGAATGCGTTCTGAAATGCAGTGAATGTGAACGTAGTCTTTGTCAATACAATAATTTGAATGCGTTCTGAAATGCAATGAATGTGAACGTAGTCTTTGTCAATACAATAATTTGAATGCGTTCTGAAATACAGTGAATGTGAACGTAGTCTTTGTCAATACAATAATTTGAATGCGTTCTGAAATACAGTGAATGTGAACGTAGTCTTTGTCAATACAATAATTTGAATGCGTTCTGGAATACAGTGAATGTGAACGTAGTCTTTGTCAATACAATAATTTGAATGCGTTCTGAAATGCAGTGAATGTGAACGTAGTCTTTGTCAATACAATAATTTGAATGCGTTCTGAAATGCAGCGAATGTGAACGTAGTCTTTGTCAATACAATAATTTGAATGCGTTCTGAAATGCAGTGAATGTGAACGTAGTCTTTGTCAATACAATAATTTGAATGCGTTCTGAAATGCAGTGAATGTGAACGTAGTCTTTGTCAATACAATAATTGGAATGCGTTCTGAAATGCAGTGAATGTGAACGTAGATTTTGTCAATACAATAATTTGAATGCGTTCTGAAATACAGTGATTGTGAACGTAGTCTTTCTTATAAAAGTGAACGATCTTACGCCAGCTTGATCTAGAAGGTGCTATTTCTGTTTATGATTGCTGTTTTACAAACACTATCTCACCTATCCCCAAAGTGTTTATATATAGATATTTCAGCCTGATAATAAAGAGAAGTTGGGCACTAACCGTAAAACCAGGATACTGCTATGCATTCAAAAAGTACAGCAAATAAAATGGCCGTTCCAGCAGCAAATGTATCCATCAACTGGACCACGTAGATACCACCGTGCGTTACACATGCCAATGATAATAAATAAACACTGGAGATAACGACCGCTGTCAGTAGTTCTCTTTTATTTCTGAATAAATTTGGAAATTCATCTGTGAGACCAGTTAACACTCCTTCAAACCCGCCCATCTGAAATGCAAAGACTAGTGTCACTGTATATAGAAGTCACATAGCGCGCGTTATAATGAACAAAACATGACTCTACGGCAGAGATATTGTTAGTTAGTAACATCTAATGTATTTTACACTCGTTGTATGCGTAGCATGGGACTCATGTGAATACAACTAATCTGAATACAAATAGCGAAAGAACAACTGGGAGGTAAAAGGAATAAATAAAATGGGGAACAGTAGAAGATGGCACGGAGGTGTGAGTGGCGCCCTCTACCATCGACTCCAAACACTCATCATAGCCGTCGACAGAGGGCTCCACTCACGCCAACATGTCAGGCTAACAAAACCATAAATACCATATTTGTAACAAGTTAAAGATGTATATGGAATTAATATTTTCACTTTAATATGACCAAATATGGTTTTGATTAAACTGAAAATATTGTTGCACATACAACAATATTTGTTACATAAAAAATGCTAATACGCATGTGCAGCATTTATTAATGTACGTTCCTTAGCAGTCAATGCACATGCGTGAAAAGAAATTGTATTATTGTTTCATCGTACGAATATTTAGTTGCGTGCTCAGAACGAATTTAGTTTTTGAAAAATCATAATCAAATGTATTCGTCAATAGAAATAGCATGTTTTCGTTCATATTAAGGTATATGCTTGGTCGTAATTACGTCTATTTTACATAATCAAATCATAAAGTTACTTACAGAACTGTCCATCCCGAGTGTTATTAGCATAATAAAAAATAATATGGCCCACAGTGTTGGTATTGGTAATGTTGATATTGCTTCTGGGTAGACAACAAAAACAAGACCAGGACCTAAACAAACAAACAAACAAACAAATATATTAATAACCATGAATGAATATCTTAGCGCAGTATTTTAGCGCATGCTTGTTTGCTTAAATCAACGAAGAAAACGACCCTTGGTCGTTCGCGGTCAAGTTAAATTCAGTTTAATAGGAAATTGATAATATGAAAAATTGATAATTAGAAAAATTAGTTTTCCAATGTCAGTTTATATTTGTGTAGTCGGTTATTATGGAGTAGCTATTCTAGTTTTGCGTTACGTACGGTTTCGCTAACTCGATGTAATCACCAGAGGTATTTGTCTGATTGGATACGACAGCAAAGCACGCAGACGCCGCATATAAAAACGGGCATAAATCAAAATCACAAAAAATACACTCGTTGTACAGGGTGTGTCAAGGCATAGTGGTGAAGCCGGATAGAACCGGGGAATTTGATCACCGGAAAGTTAGTTAGTTCATTTGCCGAAGTTGAGATATCACGGCGTTTAGCGGTGTTCTCCGTGCAGCTGTAATTGATGACAAGCTAAGCAGTGAAAGCAAATGTCACAACAACATACCTTCAGTTGCCACTTCACTGATATGCACGCCTTCTCTCTGAGCCATGTAACCAAGTACAGCAAAAATGACAAAACCAGCAAAGAAGCTCGTCACACAGTTGATAGAACTGGTGATTAATGCGTCTCTGTAATTTACAAATATAAACAACAACATATAATTCACTGGCATTCTTATGAATCTATGAATATTTTATCTGTCTGTTCATAAATTAGCTTCAATGTTTGTATCATTCTTCGTCGACTTCGCTTCGCTCGCATTACGATAGCTATGTGTGCTTATGACACCGTCACTGTAAAACGATCAACATTGACTTGTATTACGCTACACTTGTACTATGGCCATCACTCCCGATTAACCCATAAAATATGCGTTTTTTATCAGTCTCTAAACTACAGAAAATTCGAGACGAGGCTCTGAGTCATGCCCGGATGGTTATTGAGTGAATATAAGTTTTACCATTATTGTATTTATTGTATTTTATTTATAATTGAATGTACTCCCAGCGCAACAATTCCCTGGGACAAACACAGCTGAATTTGACGTGCTTCCGAAGGGTGTATCATAACGATGACATAGTGTTAATTTAAAATAACAAATATATATCATGAACAATATGAACTCAAGGTGAGAGGGGTCATAGATTGGAAACAATTGGTTACTTGATATTCTTCAAAAACATAAAATCATTTCCACTTAATCACATTTTCACAACTCACAACACCAACACGTGTCGGCACACTGTGATTCCATATCAAACACACTCTTAATCAACAAATGTCTCATGTTCACCAAGCAAGATAACAGTCTGGTCCAGATACAGATACACCAAGTCTTACATTTTTTCATTTAATTTTAAAATAGTGTGAGAGAATATGGCTAATGATCAGTGGTTCAAAATGAAGATTACGTGAAATATTTACTCCTCTAGCTATCAACGAATTGTATACTAAAGCTGCTTGAACGGTTTATTTGTACATGAACGATTTCGACCATGAATTTTGATAAGAGTCACTCATCGAAGACGAAATGTACATCGTCATTCGATCCAACCATAACTTAATAATTGACACGATGTCTTAAAACACTACATACAAGTTATATTAATAGTCGACGAACTGGCAATGACATTTGTACACCGCGTAAATCATCGCTTCGACTTACCTGTAGCAGTTATTGTGGAATTTATTATAGCTGGCAAATGCGATATGTACACCAAATCCAGCCCCTATAGAATAAAATATCTGAATAGCAGCGTCTATCCACACCTGTAATAACAATGTGTAGGACGTTAGCTGATACGATACAATAGGAGTCGGTACGCACTTCTTATGTTTTGCGCGTGCGCGTGAGTATGTGTGATATTGATTGGTTGAATAAATAACATCAACGACAACATTTGACGCACCGTGATTCCCGTATGCATGAGAGAGACGTCAAAATGATTTCATATTGTGTAGGAGAAAGCACGTGCAACGAGAAATACTAATACGCATGCGCAGTGATTAGTATTGCACGTATCAAAACAATCAGTGCACATGCGTTTCGTTGAACAAACACTTTTTGTGCAGCAAGAGCAACGTGTTTACTCCATGATTAACTTGGATCATAAACAAATCGCAAATTACCAAACAATGAAACAATAAATAAGTATTCTTACCCCAGAATCAAGTAATCTAGAAAAATCTGGTGTGAGATAATATTTAATACCATCTAATGAACCAGGTAAGGTTGAACCACGGATGAGTAATATTACTAGTATGATGTACGGCATGGTTGCTGTGAACCAAACAACCTGTAATATAACCATTTAGCAAGTCAAGACAAATAGGCATGAATGTTGTCTCAATTATGGGTACGTACCATTAATGTTTATTATCATAGAACACCGTTCAGACATTATGAACTTTAATGCTCTTACATTGTCGCTTATATATACATTCTTTGTAACCAAAATCCACGTCTGTTACTAGTACCAAAATAAAACTTCAAGTTCAATTCATTCAATATAGTTCTAGCGTTTTCTTTTCTTTGGGTATATTTCCTATAAGTTCAAAACGATCATCGTCTACTCGGCGGCAGACATGCCCCTTTCAAATTGTGAAGAAAACAACTGCGTTTTTTTTTTTCAATAATATGAATAAATATAAATTAAAACTCAGCGGTGATCGCGCCGCGTCGTGTTCGTCGTTGGTTCCATGTGACGCATACAACACATGAAAAATGCCGTTTGTTTACATGGAATTGTAAAACACTCTGTGCGACAACTGTGGCGATTTAAATTAAACTGAGACCAAGTTCTAGTCAAGCCATGGGAGCAGTTTAACGCCATTACTTAAAGTGCTTAAGTGGTTCCCAGCATGCCACGACGAGAATGGAATTTTAAAATGATTCAACTATAGATGTATCTCAGTAATCAGTGTCTCGGAAACCACGACATTGTTTAGGAACGCACAGTATACTTACATAGTATACGTACACATTTGGAGTAAGCACTCACTGTACTGCATAAAACGCAGTCATAAATCACGTGAAATATAATTATGAATGAAATCAATTGATCTTCCATACTCTTATAAAGTCATATACCTTTCCAGAGGATTTAACTCCTTTCCATAGCGCAAAATAAAGAATTGTAAAGACAGCAAGAAGACAAAGTGCTAGCTGCCATTTTACACTCCCTATATCATCTATACCATTACTCAAATGCTTCTCCAAAACACCACGCCTACGTAAAATAAAACATGGTTAATAAAAAATCAACACGCCCCTTCTTCTATAAGTCACGTATATTTATACACTTGCATACTTTGGCCACTATCTGGATTTGTGTAATAATTTCATGACAATCTTTAAAAATTGTTCAAAAATATTCCTAGGAGATGTTTTCGTTCATGTATGACTAGTTCAGTGTATGTGCCATGAAAACTACTGGAAAGAACTACACGTCAAGAAATACCACGATGTACATATAGTCCTTCAATGCTTTCCACAAACTATTATATATATATATATTGGTATGTGTAAAACAGTGCAGTGCGTACTCATAGAACTCGGCTGCAGGGGAGATACCGTTTTCCTTCGACACAAAAGTATATGCGCCTTCGCGGGTAGCTACCCAGGACTCGTTGAATGAACCATCATAACAGTATTCAGTGTTCCAGGTGTTGTTACACGATGTCCATGGCAACGTGAGGGTGAACGATGAAAATAGAAAATAAAATGACCAGGCGATGATAACGTTATAATACAAAGCTACGTAATACGATATGAGAACTACGGCCAAACCAGTACCTAGAACAAAAAGAATGAAACAAGGGATGATATCATTATGTTACATATCACAATTCTGTCACTTACATATCACTCTGCTGTCACTTACATGCCTCTATCCTCTCACTTACATATCACTCTGCTGTCACTTACATATCACTCTGCTGTCACTTACATATCACTCTGCTGTCACTTACATGCCTCTATCCTCTCACTTACATATCACTCTGCTGTCACTTACATATCACTCTGCTGTCACTTACAGATCACTTTGCTGTCACTTACATATCACTTTGCTGTCACTTACATGCCTCTATCCTCTCACTTACATATCACTCTGCTGTCACTTACATGCCTCTATCCTCTC